CCACGTTTTTTTGTAAATATGTGGTTTGTTTTGTTTTTTTAGTCTTTTACTGACCATGTACCATTTTCTAGGTTTGCCTGTGGCTGTGTTAACACATTCCAGCTTAATGTTTCTACATTTATACAAAGGCTTAAAAAGTTGTGTCCACCTTTCTGTCACTGGTCTTAATAAAATAACATTTCTGATCCAGACATGACGATGGATGAGGTGAGAGAGTTTGAGCGCGCCATCCAGGAGGCCACGAACCAGAAGATTGGGATGTTTCCCCCGTCGATCTCTATCAGTGAGACACCCCTGTCCTCCTGTGCCCTCACTGGCCCTGCCAGCGCCCCCTCCACACCCATGTGCACCGACGCGCCTGAGTCACTCTCTGTCCCCAAGGACCGACCCCGCAAAAAGTCTGCCCCAGAAACCCTGACCCTTCCTGACCCAGCTCCAAGTGACGTCCCCCAGGGCTCAACCGTAAGCCCGTTACCCACTTCAAACCACCTCCAACCATCCACACCGCCCTCTAATTCTGAGCTTGCTGAAGTGGAGGACCAGTAGAAGAACTTGGAATCTCTTTCCCTACCCCTTATTTTACTTATTCCCAGTACCTGTTGTCTTATGTGCCCAAATGAGACTAGCCTAACCTCCAAACACCAGTGCCCAAGACAGTCAAGTTCCTTAGCCATATCCAATGAATTGCCATAATCCTGAAAAAACAAACAACAATCACTCTACAACAATCACTCTAGGAGCCTCATCAGTGTCACTGATACCATCCAGGGCAGCTGTAGGCTAAGCCACTGTGACGTGGCAGGCTTCTTCTTCCTGTGACTCTAACCAGCCACATTTAATCTAACAACCTCCCACGGTCTTTAATTAAAGCAAAGCTTGTCAGATTTTATTTTATTTGTTGACTGGCAGTTCTTTAACTCATCTGAATAAATTCCTGGCATTGTTTCCTTAGTTGTTATCGTCAGTAAAGGCTGGCTATGAACTATCAAACTTTGAATAGTTGCCTTAACACCACAGAGCCATTGGTGTTTAATAGTTTTGACAACATGTGCAAATGAATGAATTTGTAAAATGGCTGTCGTCTATTCAATTAGAAATGTAATCATTGACATGCACTAGAGTAGCACAGTAGATGTAATTTGTTAGAAAATCATACATTGAAATGAAAAGACAGCCAAGAACCCTCATAAAAGATGCTCCCGTTTCTTGAGCCGTCCAAACTAGTCGTTGGATCAGACTCTGCCCATTCCTTTGTTTTCCGAACTCCATTAATATAAGTGATGCAAGAGCAGTACAATCATAGAGTATACACCTCAGGTCTCCCCCAACTCTATCTGGCACGCACTCCAAATGCAGGGATTGTACTGTGTGTTTCTCTCCCTGGTTATTGCCAAACACGTGCATTTTGTACCTCCGCTGACATAATACACTAACTATTGTACTATACTAGTCTGCCTAACCCTTGGAAATGTTTACACATCAGAAACCTTGGAGCATTTGCATATTAGCAGTCATGTTCAGAATAAGCTGTTGTTTTTACTGCATTTGTCGTTTTAACGTGACAGTTGCAGTGTTGAAAGGTACTGCATATATCTTACTGAAGTTGACTGAGAGGTCAGTACAACAAAAGTACTTCATTACAACCAAGTCAAGTGTTGCCTGAAACTAATGCTGGACATCACATGTGACATAAATGTGATCCTTTTTGATCAAATCAGCGAGTCACTTTTACGTCACATGCAGGAACAAGGCCATTTTTGAGGAGGTTTTTCTTTTTGTTTTGTGCATAGTGCAGGTAGCAGCAACTCAGTGTTTGATTGGAGGAGAAGGGCACGTGCGTCAAGCTGACTTGAGTATGTGCCTCATTAGGTGCAAAGTATTTGCAGAAGTGCTTACTTTTTTGTCTCACCAGTGTTGGCAGAAAACAGTTTTAAAACAGAAGTGTCATATGTAGTGAGCCATTATCATCCGAAACCGCCAGGATGACAATTTGTCCTGTGAAGGAAAAAAGAAAATGGTATTAATCAAAGACAGGTTTTTATATATGCTGCATGGATTGTTCACACCATATATTATATGAAGTAGATGGATATAATGTAAATGGATGATTTGATATATTTGGTGATTGAACCGCGTAAGAATAACGAATGCTTACATTTGAAGTCTGTAGTAATTTTGTAAACTATAACATCCAAATTTGAAGTGAAATGAAAGCATGTCCAGAGAATATACTCTGTAGGCCTATAAACTCTTTGAACTCAGTGCCTCTGCATGCAGAACTATATAATTACCTACATGTGTGTAAACCAAACTCTTATATTTAAGCAACAGACACACAAAATGCTGTTGCATTCTTCTTTCCTGGCTCAAATGCTGCATTTAAGAATAAAAATGGGATAAAACGTCACATAAAGTAGCTGAATTACAACATAATCAGATCAAGTCCATCATATCAAATGACACCACCAGATTTTTAAGTAACAGGGCTAACTTGTTATGTTTTAGTAAAGAAATTATTTGTTCTTTTCCCCCCTCCTTATGCGATTACCAACCTACAGCGCAATGCATTTTGCACTTTCCAGTCTTTGACACCTTATTTGACAATGAAGGAATGTGTTACATTACTGTCTTGCTGGGTTTGTTGGACCAAAGTCCCATAATACAGCATATTAACTTCAGAGAGAGAAGGTCAAAGAGAAGTTCCTCGATGGTCTTCTCCTACAATATTGTTAATATTTTGTACAGTTTCTCACTTGCTTTTGTTAAAAAACAGGAAAAAAAAACTGTAGCCATTTATCTGTAACTGTAGCTTTTGTCTTTGCCTTCTGAGGATACAAATGCTATATTCTGGTTATTGGCCCTTTGTTGATCTGTTATGTATAAGCTTATACATACTTACAACTCTGGTATTGACCACCTCTCTTGTCAGGAACAAAGAGATCCAGGGACATGTTCGATCTGCCATGGGCTATTAATAAAATGCAAAATATCCAACTGTGTAACATTAAGCTCTGCTCTGTTTAAAAGAGTAACACATTAGGTATTGTAAATACTGTTGTTAATGATTAATATAGTAGATTTCTTATATTGAACCTGTTCAAAGTTTCATTACTGATGTGACATGAATGTGCTTAACAGATTTAAAGCAGACAAAGAAGGTTACTCTTTTGTGTTTGTGTGATTAGGATGGCATTTTCACAGACATGGATTCAAATGTCTGTTTTATTCTAGATCTAGGCTTGATATGTGTCTAATCAATGAAGCTGTCATCTATTGAGCATACTTAATTTGGTTATGTTTACTTATCTCAGTTAAGTATCAAAGTTCCTCATCGTAGTGGTGCACTTTTGACTCCGGTTGCTTTTGATGACCCTGCGGGGCGATATTATTTTCCAAGTCGTACAACAAAATAAAGCGTTTCTTTTTAGTGGTGTGGCTGCTTTGATGTTTACTCGCCATGTTTATTAAGGGTTGATTGGCTCTTCTGTTTTCTTTTATGTAGTAAACCTGCTGTACTTTGATTTAGTGATGATGGTATTGTTCAGAGAAAAATGGTTTTAAAAATGAGTTTATCACCATTTCTTTTGTCAAGAGGACCAAGCATTTCACTCCTCCTCCCCTCTCCCTGATGCAGTTTGCATTCGGCCAGGCTGTCGTGCTGTCTCCTGATATTTGGGGCCTGTGTCACAAAGCAGAGTCATGGAGTTATTTGGGATCTGTCACTGAGTAAAAGCACAGCTCAGTGTACTGCAGCATGTGTACGTTTCTGACTCATCAAACTTTCTTTGTTAATCGTGCTTTGTGACACAGGCCCCAGAAGTGCCATTCTTGTTTAGCTGCTGGAAGTTGCTCTTAGTTCTTCCACTTATACTATTATTGCATTTGTTATATTTTTATTGCAGTTCAAGGTTAATTTGGTTCTTTGTTGTAATTACGGTTTTACTTTTTTCTGAAATAAACTTTATTAGCTATTACAAATGTGTATCTATTCATTCTTTTTTTAGTTCTAAGGCCCAAATCATCAGCCCTACACCACCGTGCTTGACATTTTGTCTGAAGTGTTTGTCCTGACATGTTGGTGTGGTGTGCATGATGCGTAGCGGCAGTTAACACACACCTCTATGCTCCAGATGGGTAAACTACCAAAACCTCTGCTCTTCATTTAGGTGCTCACACTCGCTGATGAGCAGTTAATCAAATGCATTTGACTGACATTACAATTGAAAGTTGAGCACTTTCTTTTTCACATGAGTCCATTTATGTATATTTATACATTACTTATTATGTTCATTTTAAGTAGATGTAAAAAAAAAACAAAAAAAAAAACACTTGTAGCCGCAATTGCTCAGCAATATGTTAGCATAAGATTGTTGTTAGTGTAATAGTGTAATCATATTGTTCAACTTTATTGGTGCATTGTTGAATAACCAAAATATTGCAGAGTACTTTCAAAAGAAAAAAACTGTAATTGTAAAATGACCTTCCAGTCTCCAGCTGAGTAATAATAACTACATTATTAATATGCTTTGGAATCCAAATATAGAGGCAAAGTTAAACCACTCAAAATAATTTAGCACCCTTCTAACATATTAAATGGTGTTTTTTCTTGGTGCTACAGTGAGAATCCAGATGCTTTCCCTGGTTTGTCACTGGAACTTTTTCCTGTGCTTTAGTCCAGTTGCCAGGTAGTTCCTGGGAAAACTAACCTCTACAAGAAAGATTTCTATTTTAGGGAAATAACTGTTTCTGGAAAACTGCAAAAAGGTTCATCTGGTCAATATGGCACACTGAAGCTGTGAGAAATAATGAGTTCGCATCTGTTCGTGTTTTCAATGTAAGAAAAATATAAAATAATTCTTCATTAATGACCGCAGGAACACCATTATAATCTGTAACCTCTTTATTAATGAGACAATTAAGTGATACTTGTAAATTGATTAAAATCACATTTATTTACATTTTAATTAAAGTGAACATTTTTTTCATATGTATGTGTTTTTATATATATAATGTCGTATTTCAGTAGGTTGTTACAAATCTTCAGTGGTAACACACAAAGAAAGGGATGTCTGGATTGGTGACTTCTCAGAGACAAGAAAGAGATACCAGGAGCAGGTAAGAAAAGGAAGTAATGGCTGTTTACATGATACTGTGGAATGAAAAAGCAGCTTTCGAAACTAAGAAATTGCTCCGTTAAGTGGACAGGTTGAAAAGAATTTGATACTGTATTTCCACCTATGCAAAGACTGACTGTAGAAATATAAGAGAGAACATTAATGCTGATTTTATGTAGTGGAATCACTTTATAATCTTGTTTACTACATAATAATTTATTCTGGTAAAATTACAGAAATTAACAGGCCAAAAAGTTTATGTATTTAAAGTGTTTACAAGTTAAACACAAAAATATGCCTGGGTAATAGAAGGTGTTAGTATTTAAAGATACTTTTCTCAGTGTGTTGCTTCATAGCCATGTCAGCTCGGCAATCAAAGATGGGTCACTTGGCTCATATGTCACAAATTACAAATACAGTGCAATTTCCATTTGTTCTCTTTTACTTCCAAAGTACAGAGAACACAACAGTGAGCCAAACAATGGTTGATATGTTCAAAGTGTACCCTCCGGTGGATGTTGTTTGAACTGCAGATGTAGTTACAGGGGTCATTGTCGTAGGAGGAGGTGTGGTAAGCACTCTAGCTTGTCCCACACATGTCCCCACATTTCCTACACTATCTACAGCAGTCAGCCCCACAATCGGTGAGCAGCAGGAGGCAGTGTAGGTAACCAGGGTAATATTCTCACCCCCTGCTTCAACCACTGTGCTCATATTCAGAGTACCATTCCCTTGGATGATGGTTACACTCTCAATGCCAGTTCCGTTGATGCCATCAGTAAAATTGGCAATGAACTCCCACTGGGAGGAAGCACAAAGCAATGAAGTGGAATCACAGGTTGATGTGTTGACTACCTGGCAAACTGGACGGTTAACATCTGTCACCTGGAGACAGAAATATGAAAAGAATGAAAAGAACTGGGTTGGGTATGTGTCACATCAGTTATTAAAGATAAAAAGAAAAGAACACTAATTCGATCTTTGCGTGTCAGTTAGATTCAGTTTATCCTGCCTCCCATGTCTTTCTTGTTAGGTATTTGCCTTTGTGCTGATTGCTCTCACATTTCTGTCTTATTTTAATACTATTTTTGTCTTGCATTTAGTTTTACTTTCTTTATCTCGTCCTTGATTGCACTTGTTTGTTTACCCGCCTGTTCCACGTTCACCAAATCATCATTTGAGTATTAATATCCTCAGTTCTCCCTTTTTCATTTTTGTGATGTGTTTCTCGTGTGTCTTTCTTATACATAAAGGTGTGTTTTAGTTTGTTCAGCCAGTCTGGCATTTGTGTCCTTGTCTAGCAACCCATGACAAACAATTTAACATATTCAGTTTCAATTAATGTATAATGATTCACAAGAGAAGTATGACACATAAAGCCTTACTGTAACTGCAAAACAACAATATTAAAACGAATTGCGTGTGAAATTTAATCTTTCATTTGAAATAAAAATAACAAAAATTTCTTTTTGATACATTATGTACATGACCATTAATTATTACAGAATTAAGAATAATGTTGAAAAATATTCTAACCATTATCACTCACCTTAGCAGTCACAGAAAACCTGAGAACTACATAGTTGATGTCGGTGGCAGCAGCGTTTTCTGCCTCAATGGTGACGGTCACGTCTGTTCCTGATGCAGCACTGGATGGAGCCGTTAGGGTCACGGTGCCATTAGCTTTACCTCCACTGCCTGCTACAGTAGTAACACTGCTGGGTGAAGTGGAAAAATAACTGCGGTCATTGCTGACTCGCACTGTAAATGTCTCAGTTGCAGAGTCAGTTATAACTCCATCAGCAGTTGCAGCAACTGTGAAGGGGATGGAGATAGTGGTGCCCGGCTCGATGTTGGTATTATTGGCTTGGGCCTGGACAAGAAGAGAAAGAGAGAGGAGCAGGGGAATTTTTTTTTTTTAAAGATTGTAGATAATAATATGTTGATGCATAATGACAGGATTTCACACTGAAAGAAGCACAGTAGGAATGGCTGTTGTTTATGATTGTAGACTTATTTACATAGATGGCTATTACAAATTATATAAAGTTAAAAAAAATCAATGTAAAAATCTTTCAGTTTACTTATGGTGACATTAAAGATTGTTCAGAAAGCACACATTAACTGATCTCACAGTGACAGAGATGCTGGAGGTCTTGATCCGTGTGGACGCTTGTCTCTGGAAGCTGCTTAAAGTGGACCTGGAAGTGGAGCTGCTGTCCTCTCCTTTCAGGATAAGCACAAACTCACCTGCTGGGATTCCACTAAATGTCACCAGGAAATCGTTGCTTCCTAATGACTGCATGAGAGAAAAAGCAGCGACATGCATTGTCACTGGATTAACAGTAACCAAACCAAACAATATATGACTACATCCTTATGGCAGGGTAGGGCGAGTGCGAGGACTATTTGTGGATGTTGCAGGACATTCATGTATTTAAGGTTTGAAAATTGGCTGCTATTAAATAGTGTGGCAAAAAATAGCGGCCTTCATTTAATTAAAATGAAAACTTCTGCCTTGTAAATTCACACAATATTAATTAAGCTCTGAAATGCCAACAATATCTCTGTAGTATGTAGTAATATTATCATTTCAAGTAAATGCTTCTTCATTTCACTGAGGTTTATGCACAGCTCGTGATTTCTATTGGACCAATGAACACTATGTTTTTTTTCTTTTTCAGTCACTGTGTTGTAGATTTGCTGGTGACACTTGGGATTAATGCATGACTCCAACTTCAACTAAGCCTTATCTGTCAGATAGATGGCCTCACACCTGCAATGATCCTTTGACCTCTTTTGGACGTGAGCTGTCAAACAGTGTGACTTCTGTGACCTTTACTGTTTCGCTTCCTGTCACAGTGACCAAGAAGCTGGTATTACCACCTGAAAGACAGGTAAAGAAAAAAAGGTAACTAAATGAGTATCAGTATGACATGCCCTTAAAGTGAAACACAACCTGCACAAATAAAAAAGGTAAGCTGTAGGACACAATAGTTAAGTTTGAACTGTACTGACTGTAACATGATGTAGCATAAACCTTTGGGACACAGAGTAACTTTTTCAAGACAGATGATTGTTGTTGTTGATTAAAAGATGACTCTTTGGACAATGTAGAAAATTGTCTACCACAACAGAACTTTACAACTATAAAAATGAACAAACAGTCACAATAAAAGTAGCCTGACCTGAGAGAGGACGTCCTTCTTTTACACTGAAGTCCCCATGGGCTCCCTCATGCTCTTCGACAAGGTTATAAATGAAGTCCACTGAACTTTGACCTGATACACAAAATAGATCAGAAGGGATGGAATACGTATATTCAGTAGTGGAAACAGACCTTGTAAATACATTTTTTCTAAAACATTTCATGTAACTCAGAGCCTAAAAATCAGCTTCCATAATACTGACCTGTAACCGTTACTAGGTAAGGGTTACTTGAGCTAACACTGAGTTGCCATAGGCCTGTTTCATTATCAGTGTTGAGGATTAAACGACGCAAGTTTCCTGCTCTGGTGACAGATGCCAAAGGCCCAAAGGACTGACTGGAAGTCTGAGATACACCTGGAGGAGAGGGACAAACAATTATAAAGGTGTTTTCAACATGACTGTGTAAGAAGTAAAAGTTTAATAAAACAAATGCATCAAATAGAGCCTTAGAATTAAAAGCCTGAACCATGAAATGCTCAGCAAAAAATGTGTTTTGTGAACCTTCTCATTAAATTAAAAATAAATAAATAATATGTATATAC